CTCGTTTCACGCGCAATTTAATAAATTCGGGAAAGTTTTGAAAATTCGGGAAAGATTACTTTGCGAGGTGGGCGAGAATGGAGAAATCGATTGGTATTGTTGTCGATAACAGGAACGGTTTTCGATCCCGTTTTCTTCCCTCCCGTGGTAACATGGTAATCTACGTGCGGGGCCAATTACACCAAGTAACCAGAAGTTGGCCGGGTCGGGCAACTGTCGATACACGCCACTCGAATCACGACAAATTGACGTGGCCGGAACCCTTGCAAAGTCAACGGGGAGGAATCCCGCCCTTTCGCTTCGAGGATCGATCGTCGGGTCGTGTCAGCCGCGCGAATTAATCCTTCCTTCCCTTCCACCAAAGAAACTCTTTCCTTAACTTCCTCTCGTTCTCCGTTCTCCTCTGTTCGCACCCCATTCGGGGGAGGGGAATTCTCGTCCCGCGCATACGAAAAATTCGTGTTTCTACGTGTTTTCTCGACGCCGAGATTAATAGGAGGAAATTTCGATGAAATTTCGAAAAGCGGAGGCCGCGGTTAATCCTTCGAGATAGCGTTGTGCCGGACCGATAACAGGTCGTGTCGGTTCGAGGGCTTTGCACCTGCGCAACGACAATGTTCCGCGCAACAATGGGCCGTGCACTCATGGGTTTAATGGCTCGTTCCCCCCTCCCCCCCCCCAGATCGAGATTAAATCGTGCGCGCACTTTAACTTTAATTCCAAGGCGGATCTTCGTGCGTGCATTACGCGAAAAGGAAACGATCGAAGCGACGAAAGGCTCGACGAAAGAACGAAATTGGAGCTCGACGAGCCTTGTTTTCTATTGCGTCGCACGCGGGAAACTGAACTGCTCGTTGTCGTATATACACGAATATATACGCGGGAAAGATTGGAGATAGGAATATTTATAAACACGATAACATTAGAGCTCGAGATATAAATACGCTGCGAAATATACGATATTATTTACATTTCGTACAAATTGTCGAGAAAACAGATATTATGATTTAAGATATTAAAATTTATGTTGACACAGCGTGATTTCGCGAGATTGTATATTTATATTCAAATCTATGGATATAATATAGAAAATTATTAAAAAGAAGAATTTTTTAATCGATTAATTAATCGATTTATCGCGAACTTTTTTCGTGAAATTGTATTAATTGTATTCCTTAAATATATATCGCGTTGTATTATCGATAATTTTTTAAAAACTCGAGAAAACCTTTTTATCGATATCTCTGCGCGAATATCTAGTATTGCTTAGCGTGAAAAATTGAAAGAAATAAAAAAAAAGAAGGGAAAAAAATTGATTTTAAAAAAGCGCTGTAAAGCATTAATAATACTCGATAGTTGGATCATTAAATGCACTTCCGTCATCGATCGGTTCGTTATAGCCCCTTCGTTTCCTCCCTTTCTTCGCGTCAATAAGATTTTTCTAGTAACGTTAAAAATAGGATTGCGTTTTCTCGTTTTCTAGTATGGAGTAAAATGCCGCCTTAAACTCGTCGATTTATTTTTAATGAAACGATTCCGTTGCAAGAGACCTGCTAAGCTGCTTTCGCCGTTAAGACGATTACGGTTCATTTTCAAATCAAACGATCCACGCGAATAACGAATGTCTTTGGGATTAAAATCGCGAGCGAAAACATCTTTGAAGCTAACTAAAGATTCGGCGATAAGTAGAAAATTCCCTGTGTAGAAACGAACTCCCTCACGCGTCGAGAGATATATGCTTTCTCGTTCCATTGTGTTCTTATTTTGCAAAGCTTTAAAAGCTCCCTCACGAATTCAGTAATAAGACACCCTATAACGAAGAAGTAAAAGTAGCAGTTAAAATCGTAACGTAAAATTTCTTTCGCGAAAGTTTACCACTTTTGCGTTCGTTGCTCGAATGCACTCAACAGGGAACAAAGTGCCACGTTTACAACAATAAATCGAATTTCGTTTGATCAATTTTTTATACGTCGAAATATAAAAAAAAAAAGAAAGAAAGAATAGAATTACGATCGATCGATTGAAATTGTTCGCTCAACACTGCGATCCCATTTTTACGCATCGAAAATGAATTAATTCAGAGAAGAAAGGAAAAGAAAAGGAAAGTAGAGAAAAGACGTGTGTGATATCGTTCAGCAAAATTTTGCAACGTGTTTTGAGTCCAGGAATTCTAGTTTTCTGCATGATACTCGTATCTCTGTACATACACTCCGTGATACCATTAACACGAAATAATCGACGCACGACGTTGCGAGTACAAGTTCATCTGTCCTATTACCACGAACGCATACTGCGCTTTTAGAACTACTGCAAACCTCTGTTTCTACTAACTCAATGTCCTGTTGTAATTTGCTAACACGCGTACCTCGTGAGTATCGAACATCTGTTGTTACTAACATCCTCCCGATACGCTGTCGCGTTTGGAAATAACAGAATGAAACAAAAATCGAACGTATCGTGCCTCCAACATGATGAAAATACGTTCTCCAATTGTAAATACATATAAATATATATATCTTGGAAAAAATTTTTCATAATTCATAATAATGCAAAAAGAAAAAAATATATATATATATAAAAACTCGAAAACATCATGAAACATTTTTCAAGATCGTCATGGTTCGCTTCTCATCGGCGCCATTGATTCTCGTTAAAGAAATTCATCCCATCGAATCTTCTTTCGTGACTTGTTACTGTCCTCTTGGGTGACATTCTTTTGCTCATTCGTGACGATTGCAGGTGCAATTATCGTAATTCCTGTTCGGTGGACGTGCGCAGCGAGATTTTCGAGGAAGATCCGTGTCCCGGAACCGGAAAGTACATCGAGGCGCAGTACTATTGCCTAGGTTGGTGCACACACACATATCTTTTCGACCGTTCAATCGTCTTCTTTCGTCGACGAGTTATACACGCGAGACACGGGTTCACGATTTTTCCAAGTTTTCTCGATGATGATGATGATGATGATAATACGATAACGAGGAAAATAAGGAAGAAAATAAATTTCAGAGAATCATTGAATTATTCATATTATTCGTATCGTCGCGCATCTTGGAGAAAGGCGTGAACCTTCGAGCGAGAACGAATGCAACGAATGCAAACGAAAGTTCGTCGAAAAAGTCTCTCCCTTCGCCCCCAATAATCCTTCCTCCCCCACCTCGAGCATCCGTAATGACGATAAGAGAAAAGGGACAGGATCCATGGTTCAGTACACTTTGGTAAGGGTGTACGTACGTACGTCATGTTAATCGACCAATCGCAAACCAGGTGCAACGACCAGCAGAACTGCAGCATTGTTGCATCGACGCTGCAATTCGGCGATCCCTGTCCCAACACGCACAAGTACCTCGAGGCGCATTATCGTTGCCTGTCCGGTAAGTAAGACTCCGCCATTTTTGTACGCGCCCTTCCCTTCGTAATATCTCTGTACCCTGTATCGTTTATTCTACGAACGGTCTTCCGTAGATACCGGGGAACAATCGCATAGGCGCCGACCTCGCCATCGTTTTCGAAATATTCGTTCATTCTTAGCAAAATGCTCGGAAGAATATATTTGTTTCAATATTATAAATGTTTAATAATTAATTGTCGATTTACAGCGTTTTTTTTTCTTTTGTTCAACGTTTATTAACAATTCTTATCCCAAAAGTATATACTTTCGTAATTTTCTGATTCATATCCTTTTGAAGAGAATTTTTTTATCTTTAAAAAGAATCTGCAGATAATATGTTTCGTATCGCGTAAAACAGTAAAATGGTACTTTTTCTCTTGCATTCGTCCATTGCGCGAAAATTCGAATGTTTCGCGTTTTATTTCCATTTTTATTTTTTTTATTTAATTTTTTTTAGAATTTCAGGAAATCGGGATCGTAAGCATCCCGAGAATCTCGTTTTCCAGAGGAAAAAGTTTCTCGATATTCGCTTCTTCTTTTTTTTTTTTTTTTTTTAA